AGCTGCCACCACCACCCCGGGGCCCCGCTCACCCCGACGTCCTCCCAGCCTCCCTCCTTGTCCGTCGGGAGCGCCTTCTCGTCCTCCTCGCGCTTTTTGCCCGGCACGATCTGGTCCTTCTCGCAGGCTCGCCGTCTCGGGCCGGGCCTGGAGACCACCTTGGTGCAAGGGCCCGGCGTCTCCTGGGTCCACCCGGACGGGGTCGGGGTGCAGATAGACACCATCACGCCCGAGATCCGGGCTCTGTACAACGTCCTGGCCAAGGTGAAGAGGGAACGGGACGAGTACAAGCGCAGGTGAGGCGACCCGTTGGGGCTCCTGGGAGCGAGAGGCTCGGGATGGGGAGGTCGGAGGGGAGAGCGGGACAGGCAAGGAGCGCCCGAGCCGGCTGCGGGGCTCGAACCACCGACGGGCCGGGGGATTCCCTCCAAGCACCAGAGGCAAAGAGCGAAGGAACCCACCGGGTTAGAGGCTCCTTTGTGAATCCTTGTACCCGAACGGATGGAGCCTCTAAAAACCTTGCATGGGGTGGCTCTTTGTGCTCATGTTGGAGTAACCACCCCCGGAAAAGGCACTGCCAGCTGCTCTCTCTTTGATTCAAGAGAGAAAGCCAGAGGGAGAGAGAGAGAGAGAGATGCTCATGCCTTTAAAACATTGGACCCAACTCGCTTGCTCCGGAGAATGAGAGGCAGTAGCGTCTCCATTCAGTGGAGAGTCTGGGAATTCACAGATACCGGATTTCTGGAGACCTTTCTTAAGGAAAGGAAGGGACCCCCTTCTGTTCTTCAGCTTTGTTGAATTTGTAAGCTATCCGAGGCTCCTTGGTGAGACCTTATCCTTCCTAACTTCGCAGAGGAGAGAACAGAGTTTAGGAAGTAGTGACATGATCTGGGCCAGTTTGGAAAAAGTTACCCTCGAGTTAAAAGTCCAGCTAAAACCCAAGGTTCTCTGTGACAATTTAAGTCCAACTCATTTCTACTGTTGTCTTGAGACACCTGCCTTGGCCTCCTTCTACAAATTGGTTATCCACCAGCATCCTCAACAGTCTTCTGTACGGTATTGGAGGAGGCATACATATGGGATGAGTTCTGTGCCACATCTCCATCCTTAGCAGCGGTTTTGACTCTGCTGACTTCCCAGGGGAGGAGTGGGGAAGAAACCCAATCCCTTTAACGTTCTATGTATGCAGATTTATTTTTTGTCGTGGCAACATTTTATTTATATAGTGCTATGGGTGCACATAGCACTCGGAGGGCAGAAACAGCTTTGGCTTCAATCAGCAGAAGCCCAGGGTCTTCTTGGCCTGAGAAACTTGCAGCCCACAACCAGATAGTTTTAGAGAGTGAAATAGGATGAATGCATTTATTTGTCCTTAGTGTTCACTTTAGTTGGAAGCGAAGATTAAAGGATAAACTATACATTATATATATAGGCACATGTATGTCGTGTGTGGGTCTTTAATCAGAAAGACCCTTGAAAGCTGAGAGAGTCAGCTTTACTGACATCTAAAATCCTTTCCCAGAGATCCTCCCACACAAACCTGCTGCAATATTCGGATGCTATCAAAAGCCTCTCTTACTTTATAAGGAAGACCCTTGAAAGCTGAGAGATTCAGCTTTACTGGCATCTAAAATCCTTTCCCAGAGATCCTCCCGCACAAACCTGCTGCAATATTCGGATACTGTACTATCAAAAGCCTCTCTTACTTTATAAGTAAGGTGGGTAGTAATTGGAGGAAAGGGCCTTCTATGTAGTGACATAGATCTCCCCCCAAAAAATACAGAGAGAGAGAGAGAGAGAAAGAGAGAGAGAGAAGGTATATATGTCTACCTTTAAAAAAAATCATGCAGTGGGGGTTTTTTGAAGCAGGATATTAAAAATAAAATAATAATAATAATTTTAGCACGGCCAAGCTCTTAGGGACCCTATGGACCAGGGAGTCCATCCCCTCTCAAGGAGCCACTGCAGGGAATCGAACTCCCAGCCTCTGGCTCCACCGCCAGATACCTAAACCCCTGCACTGAATGCTTAATGAAAATAAATATAAATCTGAAACGGGGTGGCTGGGGAGAAGATCTGCAGTGTTTGTGAAGTCCTGAGCAATATAAATATGCCACGGGTACAGCTGGCTTTTTTGTTTCAAAGCTGTGCTTAACCTTGGCGCCCATTGGTCGACTTCTGCCGTTCCTGTTTTCTGGCCAAATGGCTGACAGAAATTACACGGCACTCTTGGACAGTAGGACAGGGTTTAAAAGCAGGTCCAGACTACTTTAAGGCAATCACACAGATATGAGGTCATAGAGAAAATATCTCTAAGTAGAGAACTCTTTCAATAGGGAGATGGGCAAGCTATAACGAAGAAAAAAGGACAGTGCTTTTCATGAGGCAGTCGCTAACTGATCTGGCTTTGGGAGATGGGCAAGCTATAACGAAGAAAAAAAGGACAGTGCTTTTCATGAGGCAGTCTTAACTGATCTGGCTTTGATAATGAAGGAAGCAGACATGCATCTTCCCATTACACTGATAATCCAATATAAATAGTGCAAAAGAGGTGTGATAATGAAGGAAGCAGACATGCATCTTCTCATTACACTGATAATCCAATATATAGTGCAAAAGAGGTGTAGGCTCTTTATATAAAATAAGCAAAGAGTCCTTGAGTGATGAAGCATGTGAGTTTTTTACATGTGTGGGGCTGATTCCTGTGAAAGTTGTCTAACAAAAACAAAGCAAAACTATGAGAGTGTCTTAAAGGATCGTTATATCTGAGCAGGTAAGATAGCCTTCCACAAAAACTCACACACCAATCACCAATGAATCAGTCTTTAAGATGTCATCATACTTCTATTTTCATTTTTGCTTTTTTTTTGGTTATCTGTTCTGAATCAGCATAATGCGACTCCGTCTTTGAAAGCTGCTGTTATAGGAAGTGTATGTCCTTTGCTTCCCAAGAAGGGAAAAGCTAAGCAAGTCATGCATGTTTTGTTTCTTACTGCTTGCACAGGTGCCCTTGTCTATAAGGTATAGCAATTGAACAAAGGAGCTCATCCATGGAAGAGTGGAGAGGGATGCATGGTGGCTGTGGGCATTGCGATGAGTGGGGCAGAGCACTGAGCTGCAGGGAGACAGAGACAGAGGTGGCAGGCAGAATTGGGGGAAGGCAGAGATATCTGCCTAGCCAAGCAAGCCATGCACCGTTTGCCCGAAAAGATTTGATGCTGGTGGGATCAGAATCCGTACTGATTTTTGGTGGTTGAAAGATAGCAGGGATTTGTGGGTCTGCATTTCTGCTTGTCATCAACCATGACTACAGCTGGGAAACATGCAGAAAAGGGAAACCAAAATACATCTGGATTGCCTTCCTTAAGGATAGGGCATGACATGTTTAGGAATCTTGTTTGCTCTATGTATAGGGGATATGACGAGAGGAAGCTATAGGCTGGGAAACATGCAGAAAAGGGAAACCAAGATATATCCGTATTGTCTTCCTTAAGGGGTAGGGCATGCCATGTTTAGGAATCTTGTTTGGTCTATGTATAGGGGATATGACAAGAGGAAGCTATAACCAGATCTATTGTTTTGTAAAACTTCTAGTACAGGGAATGGCTCAGAGTGAGGCAGCGATATCCAGCCGAAGGTCTCTTTGAAATCTCCCACACACATATACTTCTTATCACTGTTAACTTCACCAGGCAGAATATTTTTTTTTTCCTCTCCACATTAGACCTCAACCCATAAAGCTGGTGCGAGAACAGACAAAAATAATCTTTCCCCCTGAAACACCGTCTTTCCCACAACACAATTATTGTATGGAATTGATGGGACGGGATGACGCTCATTAGTTTTTCAAGGGGACTGAACAAATTTGTGGTAGTTAAATACTTCTTCCATACCAATCTTTCTGTTGTCTGTTTTTGGCTGCTAAGCAGGGTCAGACCTGGCTATTATCTGGATAGGAGACCTCAAGATATTACCAGAATCTCCAGGTGGGCTAGGAAACAATCCTGCCTGAAACTCAGGAGCACCCTGGCTTGCAGGCAAGAGTCCATGCTCAGAAGCCTGCCGATGGACCATGAGCTTCTTCACTCTATTGAGTTTCCACTAGAGATCTGGGGTGTTCAGCCATGTTAAGAGACAGGGAACCTTCTTGTTTGGTTGCCCTGTGACACTGGTGGGTAGTTGCAAGGGGCATGGGATAGACGGGCAGGCCAACGAGTGGGCAACAGCCATTGTTTTTCTTTTCCATCTGCCTGCTTCCTTGAAGAGGCTGCCTAGTTATCTCTTAACAAGGTCTTTGTCTGCAAAATACACTAGCAAGTTGTGGAGTCTGAATGATGGTGCTTGTTATTATTTTTTAAAACCAAAATTAGCAAAGCTGTTCATGAGTTTGCAAGATCAGTGACTTGAGTATGTCCTTCATTAATTGCATTGATATCCAATTAATCACCCTGTCTCTTCTGATTGTTATAACCCTAGTTTGTCTCCTTTCCCCAACTCCAAAAAAGACAGAGAGGCTTCTTTGGCCTTCCCATCCCCCTCCCTTCCCAGGCAAGATAAGTGAGAGGAAGGCTCATTCTTGGCATAGCTATGGATCTAGACAAAGTGCTTTGTTGGAAGAAAGCCAATGCCTGCCTGCTCAGCCAACCTGGTTACTTCCAAAGCCTCCATAAAGAAAGTTTCTGGATGCTTTGCTTGTAGAGATGCTGCTCGGGCCCCTCGATCCACCTTTAGAGCTGCTGTTCTTGGGAAGGAAGCATTTGATTATTATTGGGAGTGCAGGCACTTGGATGTAAGAAAAATAGCTTTTGGATATCATGGTTCAGAATAGAGGTGAGGGTGGGGCTCAGCCTTTGCCCCCATTGCTGCTCCAAACACTCCTCCGTGGGTGGGTTCCAAATTCACGTTTACTCTTGCAAAGAGCTTGGTGGGGACCCTGCCCTTAGGTATGTGAGATATGGAGAAGAGAAGTGGAGCTGGCAGAGTAGAAGAGAGTCCAGCATTATTTCTGCCCTGCTGCATCTCCACTGCAGACTTCTGCAATACCTACTCAACTGGGGCTTGTTTCCAGTACAGCTGCATACATTTTCTGAGCTTCTGTTTTTGCCGTGTGTAGAAGCGGGCCCACCCTAAGACACACTGGTGCATAAGGGGGAAAATAACCAAACTGACACAGCCTTTCCATTAATTAATATATACCATAATCTACCGGAACACTGTCCTACACAAGAGAGGGGAAGCTATAGGGGAAATTACAGTACATCTCCTCCTCCTCACTCTCCTGGCCTTTTTTCTGTGT